CCCATGAATGTTGACAATGGAAGGAATACCTTGTCTGTAGTATACTGTCACTTCTGGACTGAAAAGCTGGGGAAGAAACTTAATTTTCTTCTTTGCATAGATTAGAAAAACTTAAAAAGCTAAATGTGCTGAAGTCTTAATTGGCTTCAGCAGGTGAAGTGAGCTGATAGTGTTAATTCAGATTTAAGAAATTGTCTGAATCTTGGTTTGTGTAGATTTACAATCTACATGCATTATTAGTAAAACAGATAGCTTTTACAGTTCCATGTGTGTACATAAGCTCCCCCACGCCCTCCTACATCCATTAGTTACTGAACTTTGTAAACTGGCATTGTAACATTACAACAATGTTTTGTTGCACCAATTTTATAAACTTTACAGTGCAATACTTGTTACTTTTCTGAGGCAAACCAAAGGTATATTTCTCAAGGTTTTTGCTGCCTTCTTTAGCAGCATTTGATGGATCTTTTATACATTTGTAATAGATAAAAATAAACCAGATTGCAAATCCTTTTTAAAATCTTAAACCATGTACCAACTTTTTGGTTGAAATTGTGTAGGATAAGTTAAATTGCATTCTCTTAACCAATATGAGTGTATTTCTGTAAGCATAGTTATGTTGAAATAAAGTTGTGAAAAACATGATGCCTTTGTTTATTATTGGTGTAAGTATCAAAGAAGCCACAATTTTCCAGAATTGGAAATATCTTTATGATGATTTCTAAGATTAACAGATGACCCACCTTGGCCAGTATATAGTCTAAAGCCTGTCTTTTTTGGAGGTGCAGGTAGTAGAGAAAACAGTACACCAGTTTACATCATAATTACTTCCAAATCTCTAGTCCCCTTAACAGCTTTATTTATTTATTGGCTCTTGTTTTGTTTCGGGGTTTTCATTTTTGTTTGCTTTCTTTAGTGGATTTTCATTGTGTTAATCAGGGTGGGCTCAAACTCAATCCTGTAGCCTCCCTACTAGCTGGTATTACAGGCCTGAGGCCAGCGCCCTACCACAGTTTCAGTGTGCATGCTCCCTTTTCAGTAGTAGGCCTGGGATTAGTAAATTTTGCTTTGTAATTGGGGGAAAGATGTGTTCAAAGGAAGCTGAGTTAGTGTTCAGTAAACAAGGCACCATGTTAAGGATTGGGATTGGTTGATTGATTTCAGTACTGGGGATTGAGCCCCGGCTCTTTGCACTGAGCTACATCCCTTGCCCTTTTTATTTTTTGAGACATGGTCTTCTAAGTTGCCCAGGCTAGGTTTGACCTTGCTATCCTCCTTTCTCAGGCTCCCAGAGTGCTGAGATGACCTCTCCTCTCTTACTGGTTGTCCCCAGAGCCTTACTCCCATTAGAAGTGTTATATGTACTGGACATACACACTTGACCTCATGCTCCAGTTCTCTTTGTCCTGAGATCTCAATGGAGGGTCATGACCCACGTGCAGTTAACACTGCTGGCGTTCCTGACAGCTCCATAAGGGCAAGTGGCCAGCTTCCCCAGAGCCATGTGCTAGGTATCTAGTGGGAAAGTTTCAGTGTTAAAGAGTATTATCTATCCAAAGGATTGGATGTACACTGTTACCACGAGCTTTGTGGCCCTAGGTCAGACCTGGTTTCACAACAGGCTCTCCACTAGAAGTTGGGCAAATCATGCAGTTGTGGGCCACTACACCGGGCATAGCATTTTTAGATAAACCACTATATTGGTTATGTGACAAGCTCTTCAGGAATGAATCACACTTTAAGGTTAAGGTTTGGATTTTTTTTTTTTTTGTGGTTCTGGGTATTGAACTCGGGACCTTGTGCTTTCAAGGCAGGCGTGATGCCACTGACCTGATCCCCAGCCCTGAATTTGTTTGAAAATGTTCTTGGGCCTGTGGCCTTGCTGTTTGTCCCATCTGATTCATGATTCACTTCATAAAATGCCACTTGAGTTACAGTCCCTTGTGTGGGCCTGTGTTTCCCAGAATCCATGGGGAGTATTGAGAAGATGCTGTGGACTGCAGGAAGGGGCAAGAGCAGTACGTGTCCTGAAAGGGATTTTGTGGTGGTGATTTTTGTTTTTTTGGAGACAGGGTCTCACTATTTCAGGCTGGCCTTGAACTCACTATGTAGCCTAGGCTGCCCTCAAACTTGCAATGATCCTTTTGCTTCAGCCTCGAAAGTGCTGGGATTACACACCTGGCCAGGGTTTTGTGTTCTTGCTCGGTGTTAAATTTTTTTTTCATTAAATTTTGTTTTTGTTTTTGCTGTACCAGGGATTGAACTCTGGACCTGTGCTTTTGAGGCAGGCTTGGTGCCATTGAGCTAAACACCCGGCCCCAAGAGTTGTTTGGTTTTGTAGTTCATTAAATTTAAGAAATAAGCTGCTCTTCGTGCTGTCCTCCCATGTAGCAGCCCTCCCCCAGCCCCAGCTGTAAGGGCCATTTTCTCTTCACCCTGCACTTCTGGTGTGTCCTTTGTCCTAGTGTCCTAGTGTGCACACTGGTTCGTAGCACACCTGATGCTGAGCACAGGCACTGGCTGGAACTGTGTCTGCTCAGCAGATGGCTACCAGGCAGCCCACCTAGTCCACTCCATGCAGGTGAAGTCAGATACTGAGACTTAATGTCTCAGGGCCTCAGGCCTGGGAGTCCAGAACTCGAGAGGATCCTTGCGTGGTCCCCTGGGCTGTTCCTGGATTGGCCGGTGTGCTCTTTGTTAGAGCCTGGGAAGGCTCAGGCCAGAATGCCCAGAAGCCTGTGCAGAGCCCCAGATTTTAGATTCTGCCAGATCACTTGGTTACCTTTTTTTTTTTTTTGGTACCAGGGATCGAACTTGGGTCCTTGCGCTTGCAGGGCAGGCGGTGAAACCACTGAGCTAAATCCCCGGCCCAGTTGCTTTCATTAACTATGTTATACAGACTCTTCAAACTTAACCATTCAATAAATGCAAAATGAAATTAATTCATAAAGCTTTAAAAGCCATCTTTAGAACTTCTGATTCCTCTTTTTTATAGTTAAGGATAGTTTTCACACTATCTAGTGGGGACAGTTCAAATTGTTTGCTTTTATTACTAAGGGATTAGACCAAGGGCCTTGCACAGACTAGGCAATTATTCAACTGAGTTACAACTCCATCTTTTTAATTTTTAATTTGTACTGAGGATTGAATCCAGAGCCTTCACTTGAGCTATATTCCTCAGCCTATTTTTCTTAGGTCTCACTATGCAGTTCAGGCCTTGGACTCACTGCGTAGCCCGGACTGGCCTTGAACATCCAGCAATCCTGTACTGGGGTTACAGGCATGCACCACCATACTTGTCCCCTCAGCCCCTTTAAGCATTTTTTGACACAGATTCTTGCTAAATTGCCGAAGTCTTAGTCTTGATCTTCCTGCTTCAGCCTTTTGAGTAGCTGAGACTACAGGCTTGTATTGCTATCCCCAGCTCAAATTGCTTCTTTTAGGTTATCAATATTTCATGAAATTTCTGGGATCCTCATGGGAAACTTTGAAAACTCTGAGTTGAACCAGACATAGTAGCGCACGCCTGTGATTCCAGGACTGGGGAACAGAAGCAGGAGGATCATGAATTTGAGGCCAGCCTGGACTACAACAGACCCTGACTCCAAAAAACCAAACACCAAACCAAAACAAAAAGGAAAGCCAAAACCCTGAGTTGAAGGCTGACAGGAACAGAGGGGCCTCCTGACTCACCCGCTCCGGGCATCCCCCCCAGTGCAAGCCTGGTCCTTGCAGGAGCTGTGGGTGTGGGGTGGTGCTGGACAGACTGAGTAGTCCTGGAAGATGGCCTCTGTAGGAAGGGCATCTGAAATTCCTTGCAGTCACAATGGCACCCACCTTTGCCTGTCCTATGTGATGCCGGGAAGAAGAGTTTATAGCACTCAGGACCCCACTCCGAGTCTGCCTCATACTCCCTTTCCTTGTTGGAAAGTGATAGGATATATTTTGAGATATAAAGGCTGCCCCTCCCTTACTTTTCTGTACTGGGGATTGAACCCAAGGCCTTTGCTTTGAGCTATATTCCCAGTCCATTTTTAATTTTTATTTTGAGAAAGAGTCTTACTAAGTTGCCTGGGCTGGGCTCAAACTTGTGACCCTCCTGCCTCAGCCTCCCACATACTATGACATGTGGGCCACCACACCCAGCTTTAAATTGAGTTTTAAAGCTTTTTTTTTTGGTACTCAGGACCTTGCGCTTGCAAGGCAGGTGGTGGCACCACTGAGCTAAATCCCCAGCCCAAAGCTTTTGTTTCTTTTTCCTTAATACACATCATTAAAAGCAAAATATTGCAAAGGGTTTATAATGAAAGCAAGTCTACAGCTTCTGCTCCCTTTTCCTTTTTCATTTGGTGGCTGGGTTATGCAAGGTCAATTTAAATCAGCATTCAGCTCACTTGATAGGTTTGCATTTAGTGTGTTTCATTCAGCAGGAGCAGGTAACATTGATTTTCCCAAGGTTGGTGATCCACTGGAATCTCATGGTGGTTCTACAAAGCCACAAGTTCTTTCTTTTTTTTTTTTTTGGTACCAGGACTCTAACTCAGGACGTTGTGCTTGCCAGGCAGGTGCGGTGCCACTGAGCTAAATTCCCAGCCCAGCCACAAGTTATTTTCAGCCCTGCCAGTCAGCTTGAGTCTGTGCTGCCATTGGGACTTGTTTTGGCCCTTGGCATGAGGCAGGTGGCACAGCCTCCAACTGTTGCTCTTTTCCCCACCACTGTCACTGATCAACTGAGCCTACTTGGTGAGAACTTGGATAGGGGAAGTAAGGAAAGAGGCCTGGCTTCACCATCTGCCCCAGCACCTCAGCTGAAGCTCAAGGGCCGAGGCCAGCCTACTTGCTACCTCTGCACTGCATGTCCCGGGAGGCAGAGTCACTGAGCTGAGGCACAGCAAACTGACTGCTAAAGAATGGGAGCCAGGCTTGTAATCCCTGCACTTCAGGGTGCTGAGGCAGGAAAATTGTCACAAATTCAAGGTCAGCCTGGGCTACATAGCAAGACCCCCCCCCCCCCGCCAAAAGAAAAAAAATCCCCAAATAAATGCTTGGTTAAAGTCACTGAGTTTTGGGATGGTTTGTTATTCAGTAATAGATACAGTAGGAACACTCATGTTCTCAAGTCCTGTTACTAAATACGCATTTTGAATTAACAAATGAGCAGCTGTACCTAGGAGTGACTTACCCCGTGCCCAACGGGGGAGTTGGTGGGTATGTGGGACAGTTATACATTGTTCTCCTTTATTGAACAGTCTCTTGTCCAAGTTCTCATGCTGAAAATTTTTAACACATTTCTTAGAATTAGCTTTACATAAAGCTTTATTTGTTCAGTGAAAAAGGCATTTTCTTCAGTGTTTCAATAAAAAAATGTATCTTTTATCTAGGATTTCAAAGGAAAGCAATCCTCATTTCCCTAATTTGCCTACCCATTCACCATAAACCTTAAGGTTGAAGATGGGAAATTGAAAAAAGATAAATCTTTTTAGGACAAATACTAAATTCTGAGAAAAACTGGCATGATGGGTTTTAATTGAGCAGTGAGGAACCCCTTGATATAAAAGCTAGATGTTCCAAGGAACAGAAAGAGGACGAGTGCACACAGGTAGAAAGGGCAGGGCCATTTAAAGAGGGTCAGGACCAAATTTACCAGTTTGCTTTTTGAAACTATTAGATTTGCATGGAAACAAGGAGCGCTCATTCTAATTGCACCAGCAGCACTAGGATTAAGAATTACTGTCTTTCTGAGCTTGGGGATTTAGCTCAGTGGCACTGCACCTGCCTGGCAAGCGAAAAGTCCTGAGTTCAATCTCCGGTACCAAAAAAGAAAAGAAAAGAAAAAAAAGAATCACTGTCTTTTTGATGATGGCGTAGTGGTATAATTATTTGGATGTTCCAGGTTTCCTGTGTATCCAGTATATTCTTTTCTCCATCAGAATTGTGGGTCAGGATCTTCACACACGCTGTGATCTGTCCGTGGTACTTGGCAAGCTCAATGGCCGTGTGAGATTCCAGCCAGCCACTCAAGTTCAGTTCCTTTGGAGCTGTCTGGGGTGGTGAGACTGGAAAACAAGCTGGGAACCAAGCTGGAAACCAAGCTGGGTTGTAGCATTGCTGAGATAGGATGGCAGGGGCACAGCATATCACACACATCTGGAAAATATGCTCAGGGTGGAGTAACTGTACACAGTAGGATTCAGAGGAAGCCAGAAAGAGAATGAAGCTGGAATAACAGAATTTCTAGGGGAACTATCACTACATTTGGAGGTTTTTCAAGTGGGTTTCTCTTCTTAGATGGTAGTGTTTCCTTCCTAAATTGAAAAGTTCTCACCTTTAGACTTATGACAGATTTTAATATATAAAGGAAGTACTGTACAGTGGCTGAAAACACAGGTGCTGATAGAAGTATCCCATACCATGATTACGGTCAACAAATCTATACATGTGTTAAAATCTATAGAATTCTACATTTTTTAAAAAATCCTGTTTTTAAGTACAAGTATTCCACATGGAGCCAAGTGTGGTGGTGCACACCTGTAATCCCAGTACTGAGGGAGGCTGAGGCAGGATGATTACAAGTTTCAGCCCATCCTGGGCAACTTAGTGAGACCCTGTCTCCAAAAATAAATTTAAAAAGGTCTGGGAGTGTAGTTCAGTGCAAAGGCCCTGGGTTCAATCTTCAGTCAAGAGGGAGAAGGGAAGAGGAGAGAGAGAAAAGAAAGCAAAATCCATTATGGGTATGGAGCAAGACTGCCTGGGTTTGTTTGAATCATAGCTGTGTGTCACTTGTTCACTGTGTGACCCTGGGCAAGTTATTTGTGCCTCAGTTTCCTTACCTGTAAATGCAATTAATAGTGTCTCCTGTATGGAGTTGTTGTAAGGATTCTAAACATATGTAAAGCACCTTAAACTGTCTGCCTTGTTGTATGCGTTGTTATAAGAATATGAAGGTAGGGCCGGGGATTTAGCTCAGTGGTTCTGGCGCCTGCCTTGCAAGTGCAAGGTCCTGATTTTGATCCCTGGTACCAAAAAAACAAAAAAAAAAACCAAAACAAAAAGAATATGAAGGTGTATGAAGAAGATACATGGGCTGTCACATGATTGTGATCCCTCTGAGTAGTTGGAAATAACATCTATCGGCAGGGGTTGCTTTTTTTTTTTTGGTACTGGGGGTCGAACTCAGGACTTTGCACTTGCAAGGCAGGTGGTGGCACCACGGAGCTAAATCCTTGGCCCGGCAGGGGTTGCTTTTATTCAGGAAAGGAAGAAATTCCACATGAGGTCCGTGCAAGGGCTACGAAGCACATTTAACCCATTTATGCCGAAGACGGCAACTTCTGAATTTTTGCATGAAATATATGTTACCTAGAAAAATTCAAGGAACAAGAATTTGAAGAGGAGAAATTTTATCATGTCTTCTCTTTGGCTATTTTCAAGAGAAGGGAAAAACCACCTATCAACTAAAAATCCCCTTCACGTCATTCATTCAGTCATTTGTTCATTTGTTCATCCATTCATGCATTCGTTCGTTCATGTGTTAAATACCTGCTGTTTCCCTGGAACTTACTGAAAGGTTGGGCAGGATGTCACCAGTCTTTCACGTGGGAAGTCCTTGACATATGATGACGCATTCTCTAGGGCAAGCCCCTTTTTCCTAATGGCCTTCGTTTGCGCAGAGTCAGCACAGGTAAGGGGCAGAGGTGCTACCGACCTCTGCTTGAGAGCATGATTCCTCTTCGTACATCTACTACCAAGAGTAAGAAGCCGCGCCAGTCCTTCCAGGCTGACCACACGGAAGTAGGTTCTGAGAATTAACTGGGAAGTAACAGGAAGCTTTTACAAAACAGGAACCTGGGAGTTCAAGTAGGGGGTGTTGTGAGGATGATCTGGACATATTTAGAAGTATTTAGATCATGATGAAACTCTTGTACCTTTTTTTTACCCCCTTGAGACGCGTCTCCCTAAATTGCCCAGGTCTGCCATGATCCTCTTGCTTCAGCCTCCAGGGTATATGAGATCCCGGGCGTGCGCCATCACACCCAGCTAAAACTTTTATACTAAGAAGGAGGATAACTGCTCTCACTGTGTTCCCCGGATTGGCCACAAATAACGGTGCTCTTTGACACGAAAAGGTGAGGCACTTTCCAGCACCACGTCACGATGGTGATCTCGAACTGCAACCACCGGCCACCAGTGGGAGCCTGGCTCAGGCTGTGAGGGCGCCACACGGAGAAAGGGCGGAGGTGCCCTGGACACGAGTCTGGAGTCTGGTTTTTAATGTTTAAGCGTTGCTCTCCGACAGCTGATGATCAACAATCCCCTGGGAGGAGGAAAGCAGCCAAGCGAAATGAAAGTGGTCCTGCCGCTCCGGGCGCCCGGTGCCGAGCGGGAGGGCAGCCCGGAAATGTCAGGCCATCTGCAAGCGCCACCTGGCTGGGCACCGGGCACCGGGCGCGGCTGTGCGGGACCCAGCGAGTGATCGCCGGAAGTGAGCGTCTCGGGTGCGCTAGGCGGACTTCCGCTGGCGCCCGCACAGCCGCGCCCGGGCGGGGGTGGAGATTATAAAAATAGAAAATGGGTTACAACTTCAGTGTGTCTCAGTCACTTCGAAGGAGGTGCTGTTATTTTAGTTTTATTAGAAAAGCAGAGAGATTAAGTCCAACTTTTCCAAAATAAACTTTGAGCCTATTGTCACATAGGAGTACAACTCTCCAGTGGTACATATTTTACTTCAGGTGTCATCAATACAGAAGTGCCATGCCGAACACCACAAGGTTCAGGATCAGGAAACAAACTAGTATAAACTTACTTAGTTGTTTTCTAGTCACTCAAAACAACCTCTGTTCCGTGGAAGTGAGGGACTGTCCTGACGCCCCTTTAATTTCTCCTTGCCTGACCACAGTGTAAATGATTACTGAATCCGGGGAAACCTTCATATTCAGATGAATGGATTAAGAATAACAATAAGAGGGCCGGGGATTTAGCTCAGTGGCTCCGTGCCGCCTGCCTCCCAAGCGCAAGGTCCCGAGTTCGATCCCTGGTACAAAAAAAAAAAAAA